GGGGGGGGGGGGGGTGCAGATATAAACTGGAATGGCCCAATAGTAAACAACACTGGGATGAGTCAGCCATTTTGAATTGGAACATGAAATAAATGCGAACATGCCAGAGATACAATTTTTTTCCATTAATCTGTGGAGGCTTTCAGCAAATTTCTGTCATTAGGCAGAATTTAATTTGATCTGAGAAACAAGTTTATTAAATTTGAATTTAAGTTTGAATAGCTGTCCAAGTATGTCAGAGCTAGAGCTTTGGAACTGCATTTATTAAAACAAAATGGCCATCATGAATCTAACCTGTAATATGTGTGTGAAGTTTGAATGTTCCAGACCGTAAATACAGTAAATCTCTAAGTTGACTTTGTTCAAACAGGAACTAATCATCACAATACAGTTAATTATTGTAATTTTTTTATTGCATTTGTCATTATTAAATAAAAAAAAAATAACAACGGCTAATTTGCATGATCAATCTCGCAGTATATATATTGCAATAGTTAAAGTGACTATAACCGTCACATATACAAATTGATCAATGTTAAATGCCAATATTAGGAATTATATTAATAATAACAAGCCATGCATGGCACAGTCCCCGTTAGTTATCAAATTTAAGATATATAGTTTTGTTTATAGTAATATAGCTGGAATATAACCATGTCAGAAATATGATTATGATGATTGTTTAACATTAAAATGATTAACATTTGTATCTGATCGTCAAACAAGTACTTGTCCATATTGAGAGATATTGCTTTGGAACAGCATTAATTACAACAAAATCAGCCATTTTGAATACATGTACATGTACATATCTATAACATGATGTATAATGAATATATAAAATTTAAACATAATCAGTCAAAGCATGTCAGAGATATGGCTCCAGAAGCCCATTCATTAAAACAAAATGGCTGCCAGTCAGCCATTTTTAATCCGATCTGAAAAATAAAATGACGTGCACCAGGAACCCGTAATGTATAATGTATGTACCAAGTTTGAACAAAATCCATCCATAAATGCCAGAAATGCTTGATATTTGATGATTTTTTTAGCACAAAAATGGCCACCATTCGGCCACTTTGAATAAGATTGTCAAACCAATATATCTGTATAATGAATATTAAAAATTTGAACATAATCAGTCAAAGCAAGTCAGATATATGGCACCACATTCATTAAAACAAAATGGTCACCAGTCGGCCATTTTGAATTTTATCTGAAAAACAAAATGATTTGCATAAATGTCTAATTTATATACCAAGTTTGAACAAAATCCATCGGTAAACATCAGAGAAATGCTTGATTTTGATGATTTTTCAGTACAAAAAATGGCCGCCATTCGGGCATCTTGAATCAAATCATGAAACAAATTGATGTGCATATGTGTAATACCATGTATGATGTATGTGTGAAGTTTGAATGTGATTGGTCTAGGCATTTCTATGATACAGGATACACGCACGCACAGAGGTCAAAACATAAGTTCCGGTTTTTGGACTGCATCCGAACAGGGACTAAAAAAACTAAACGTATGTCAGGGTATCTCTGTACATCATACAATTTAGAAAGTAGAAACTAGCTATATAACATGTGAATATCAAACATGGATATTTCTGACAAAACAAAATTAATGATTAGCAGTATTCTCTATATCCAAGCTCTCAAAAAATACCTTGCTATAGTAACATGCTAATTACAGAGATTAAGTTAAAGGGGAAGTCAAGCCAAACAACACAATGACCCCCCCAAGAAAAAGCTCCACAAATGTAGGAGAATGCAATTTACGGTTTTTTTAAATCACTTTTCATTCTCTAGATATTCAACATTTCATCAGTATTATGTAGTCAGCCATTTTGATTCTCAAGCAATGGATCATGGGTAAAGTATGACATCACAGAGTCTGTTAGAAATTGAGAAAATGATTTCATCTATAACATGGGAAATACTGAACAGATGCGAATTAGTTCAAATTTTCGTTATGCATTTAACTCTAGTATATGAATATATTTATGTAAATTAGAATGTTACAAATACACATCAAGTGAAGATATTGCCAAAAACGTTAAAAAAATAAAAATCATTATTTTCGTTGTGAAATATAGAATGAT